TGGTCTCTCTCTCTGGTCTCTCTCTGGTCTCTCTCTCTGGTCTCTCTCTGGTCTCTCTCTCTGGTCTCTCTCTGGTCTCTCTCTGGTCTCTCTCTGGTCTCTCTCTGGTCTCTCTCTGGTCTCTCTCTGGTCTCTCTCTGGTCTCTCTCTCTGGTCTCTCTCTGGTCTCTCTCTGGTCTCTCTCTCTGGTCTCTCTCTCTGTCTCTCTCTAGTCTCTCTCTCTGGTCTCTCTCTGGTCTCTCTCTCTTGTCTCTCTCTGGTCTCTCTCTGCTCTCTCTCTCTGGTCTCTCTCTGGTCTCTCTCTGGGTCTTTCTGGTCTCTCTCTGGTCTCTTTCTCTGGTCTCTCTCTGGTCTCTCTCTGGTCTCTCTCTGGTCTCTCTGGTCTCTCTCTGGTCTCTCTCTGGTCTCTCTCTCTGGTCTCTCTCTGGTCTCTCTCTGGTCTCTCTCACTGGTCTCTCTCTGGTCTCTCTCTCTGGTCTCTCTCTGGTCTCTCTCTCTGGTCTCTCTCTGGTCTCTCTCTCTGGTCTCTCTCTCTGGTCTCTCTCTGGTCTTCTCTCTGGTCTCTCTCTGGTCTCTCTCTCTGGTCTCTCTTGGTCTCTCTCTCTGGTCTCTCTTGGTCTCTCTCTGGTCTCTCTCTCTGGTCTCTCTCTGGTCTCTCTCTCTGGTCTCTCTCTGGTCTCTCTCTCTGGTCTCTCTCTGGTCTCTCTCTGGTCTCTCTCTGGTCTCTCTCTGGTCTCTCTCTGGTCTCTCTCTGGTCTCTCTCTCTGGTCTCTCTCTTGGTCTCTCTCTGGTCTCTCTCTCTTGTCTCTCTCTCTGGTCTCTCTCTGGTCTCTCTCTGGTCTCTCTCTCTGGTCTCTCTCTCTGGTCTCTCTCTGGTCTCTCTCTGGTCTCTCTCTGGTCTCTCTCTCTGGTCTCTCTCTCTGGTCTCTCTCTCTGGTCTCTCTCTGGTCTCTCTCTCTCTGGTCTCTCTCTGGTCTCTCTCTGGTCTCTCTCTCTGGTCTCTCTCTGGTCTCTCTCTCTGGTCTCTCTCTGGTCTCTCTCTCTGGTCTCTCTCTGGTCTCTCTCTCTGGTCTCTCTCTGGTCTCTCTCTGGTCTCTCTCTCTGGTCTCTCTCTCTGGTCTCTCTCTGGTCTCTCTCTCTGGTCTCTCTCTGGTCTCTCTCTCTGGTCTCTCTCTGGTCTCTCTCTCTGGTCTCTCTCTGGTCTCTCTCTCTGGTCTCTCTCTCTGGTCTCTCTCTGGTCTCTCTCTGGTCTCTCTCTGGTCTCTCTCTCTGGTCTCTCTCTGGTCTCTCTCTGGTCTCTCTCTGGTCTCTGTCTGGTCTCTCTCTCTGGTCTCTCTCTGGTCTCTCTCTCTGGTCTCTAGAGTTCTGAGAGGTATTTTGGCCTTTCTTTACTTTCCATTTTAAGTTTAACTAGGTCTACAGGTTTTATGGTTGGTTTTGGTTCGTCCGTGACTTGGATAGTTAGAAGTCCCATTTTTTGGTTTCTAGGGGAGATGTAAGATCCAAATACATATGTACCATTATCAGATTTACTGGGGTTTTTGAGAGTAATGATTACAGGGTCACATATATCTCCAGGTGCTTCTTTAGCCTTAATGATAGATAGCCTATGTTTTAGGTCACTTTGAGAATGGTAGCCCCAATCAGTTCCGGTATTAGCAATTGTATAAGCCCAAGATTCACAATTACAACCACGAGAGATTCCTGAACTGCCCCATACGCCTCTTGCAATGTAGCATGCATTGGTAGTTATACATAAAAACTTTTCATATTGTTTGTATTCACAGGGATTTGAACATGAGTGAATTTGGCAAGAATCTAATAAGACTGTGCATTGTTTTCCTACCTGACAAACCATTTTAACTGTTGGTGCTCTGTCCCCAGGACTAAAATGTCTGATGCTCCTGCCTGCTCTCTGTCTCATACCTTGTGAAGTTATTGCATTTGGCAGATCAAGAGTTGTGATCCCGCTTGCAGCTGTGGTCACAGTTGGTTTTTCAGTCTGCTGGTTCTCGTATGGCAAATCGCGGTGTCCAACAGGTTGTTCAACAGATATCCAGCAAACTAGGGACACACACAAAAAAGAAAACATCATGAGTACATATTTCCATTTAAAACTCATCAAGGGTGGGGTTTTAATCACAAAAACATTACTTCCCCCGTTTTTCCAACTCTCCAGGGTCCCCTGAGAGTGCGTCCGGGGTCTCGGTTGATCGGTCATCAGTTGAGGTTGTATTTCGAGCGACGTCATCTTGGACCTCTGCCAGGGTGCGTTCCGTCTGGTCACTCGGGCTGCGAATGCAGTGTTCAAGATGGTACCAGTACTTCACACCGGCTCGATCGACCTGAACAGACCTCCCTGTGCAATTAGTCACTTTATATGGTCCTGTCTGGTATGGCTGAGTCCATTTGGATCTATTCTGAACTTTGATGAATATCCAATCACCAGGTTTAACAATGGGGTCAATCTCGTCTGTTTGTCTCAATTGGTTAGTTTGTCGTCTGCACTCGGACAACTGGGAAACAATTGTCCTGAGCTCAGACAAATATTGCTGGTGGATCCAGTCCCATTCGACAAAGGGGGCTTCAGCATTGAGTGGACCAATCGGCCTGTGCATTTCTCTCCCAGTCAATAACATGTGTGGAGAGTAACTTGTTGACTTGTTCACGCTATTCCTGATGTCCATCAGCACAAGAGGAAGAGCAGTGACCCAGTCAAGTTTTGAAGTCTGCCAAACCTTAGCTAGCTTACGTTTGATGGTTGCATTCATGCGTTCAACTTGACCCTGAGATTTTGGATGGTAAACACAACCAAATTTTTGTGAAATCCCGAGAGTTTTCAACACGTCACGCACAATCTTAGCTGTAAAATGTCTGCCATTATCAGATCTGATCTGATAAGGGCAGCCGAATCTACAGATTACATCACGCATTAGATGTTTTACAACTTCTGCCGCGGTTTCGGTTCGACACGGAAAGGCTTCTACCCACTTAGTATATTCGCAAACGATAACTAAAAGATATCGAAAACCTCTAACACGCCTGTCAGGACCCATGTCTGTAAAGTCCATGACAATTTTTTCAAAGGGCGAATTGGGCATGATGAAAGTGCCAGGTGGGGGTTTGCAAGTCTTCTTGGGATTCATGGTTTGGCAAGTATGGCAATTGTTGATTCGATATTGAAGCATTTCTTTCATATTTGGATGCCACCATGGTTCCATGAGACGAATCATAGAGTTGACGCTTCTGTGCAGCGGGCTGTGGTATTCTTCAAACAACATTTGTATAAGTGCGGCGGGTGCCGCAATACGACCATCGTGGTTTCTCCAGAGGCCTTCTTCTCCTTTTGTTGCTCCTTTTAGTTTCCATTGATGTTGTTCATATGCCCCAGCTGCGTTTTGAAGTTCTTTCACATATTGGAGATCGATTAAATGTGATTGTGTGTTCAACTCTTGATTTTTTGTCTTCTTCTTCTTCTTCTTTGATTCTTTGGTCTGTTCTTTGTCTTCTTGAGCGTTTTGCGTTTCCTCTTCTTCTTGAACTTTTTTGGGTTTTTCTGGTTTCTGTTGTACGATCATTGTTCTTTTCATGTAGTTGGCAGCCTTTTTTGCAGCTTGGTCTGCAGCTTGGTTTCCTTTGGAGATCATGTCTTCTCCTTGTGTATGTGCTCTGCATTTCATGATGGCCAGTTTGCTTGGTAGGTTCACTGCATCAATCAGATGTCTCACAAGAACTTCATGTTTTACCGGCAGTCCATTTATCAGTTTGAAGCCATTTCTTATCCATCCAGGAAATGAGATTGTCAATGTCCAGTAAGCATATGCCGAGTCGGTATAGATGTTCGCAGTCCGTCCACTGGCGAGTTGTAGTGCTCGCAGCAGACCTGTAAGTTCAGCCACTTGAGCAGATCCTTGCTCCACTTGTCTTGCTTCCAATACTCTGTGCTCTCCATTTTCCTTTTGTGAGACGACAGCGTATGATGAGATGGTTTCTCCAGTTTGCGCTCTGTATGAGCAGCCATCGCAGAAGAGTGTCATTTCAGCATTTGGAATTGGCTCAAATTGAAGATCAGCTCTTACATATAGTTCAGTCTTCGCCAGTTCTTCACAGATATGGTCCGTGCTGTTGCTTTCAGAGTCATTGATCATATGCATGGCCATGTTGATGTTTCCGCTGGCATAGGTGATGTGAGGTTGACAAAGCGTCTGAGTGATGTTGGCAGTTCTTTGGGCTGTGGTGATGAACAGTTTTGAGTTCAAGTATGCTTGGATCCCATGGTTTGTGTGTACCACAAGAGGGTGGTTTTGAACCAGATGTGCTGTCTTCATGATTGTTTTGGTCAATGCTGCCAGATATCTTGCACATCCAGGTTGGGCTTGGTCGTGTGGATCAAGTTTGCAAGAGTAGTGTTTCAGAACTCTTCTTTCTCCTTTTTTCTTCTGATACAATATTCCATAGACATAGAATTGTGATTCAGCCACATCAAGATGAAACGGCAGTGTGTAGTCTGGCACATACAGTGCACAGGCGTTACAGACGGCTTGCTTTGTTCTTGTAAAGGAGTTTTCTGCTTCCGTGGTCCAAGTTAAACTTGCAGTTGGTTGGTTCATGCCATGGGGTTTGATCAGTTCTCTTAGAGGTGCAGTCATTGCGGTATAGTTGGGTACATATTCTCGACTGTAGTTGCAAAGTCCGAGAAAACTCAGCATTTGTCGCACCGTTTGTGGTTTTGGTGTCTTCAGAATTGCATCTTTGTTGGAGTCTGAGACTCCCTGTCCAACTGCAGAAACCTCTCTTCCCAAGAAGTACACAGATCTTCGGCACATTTGGATTTTCTCCCGCTTCACTTTATAGCCTTTTCTTGCCAGGTGTGTGAGCAGATCAGTGGATGCTTGTAAAACGGACCTTGCATCTGGTCCTGAAATAGCCAGATCATCCACATATTGTATGGGAGTGCACTTCTCAGGAAGGTTAAACTCAGCCAGATCCAGGCGTAGGAAATGGTTGAAGTACCCGGGGGACAGTTTCCATCCTTGGGGCATCCGACAGTAAGTGTATTGTCTCCCCTTCACGGTGAAGGCAAAGTACTTCTGAGATTCTGGATGCAGTTTGATTGTGAAGAAGGCGTTGGCCAGATCAATTACTGTGAAGTACTTGTCGTTCGGAGAAAGGTTGTTCAGTGCGATGTATGGGTCTGGAACAGGGTACGATTCATCAGCTGTTACTTCATTTAGGGGTCTGAAGTCTTGGACCATGCGCCAGTTCTTCAAATCTGACTTCTTCACTGGAAAAAGTGGGGTGTTATACTCTGATGTAGTTCCTCTTATAACACCTGCTTTCAACAGTCCTTCAATGGTTTGTGCGATCCCTTGCACTTGTTCTTGTTTCAAGGGGTATTGTGCTCTGTATACTGGAGTGTTAGTTGTCAGTTTGACTTTCACAACATGCGATGTGCATCCCACATCATTGGCATGTGTCATCCATATGTTAGCTGGGACTGCATCCAAGTATCGTTGAGCGTCTGGGTGATTTTCAAAAGTTCTGTGACGCGATTCCTTCAAAGCTCTGGTTATGTCCGTTGACCCGTCTGGCAGTGTGATCCTGAAAATGCCATGTTGTCCATTGTAGGACACTCCAGGGTTGTCGGTTGGTGCATATATCAAAGTGTTTGCCAACTTCACCATTGATCCAAGGGACTTTGCAGTATGGTACTTGGAAACGGCCAACGTCACATGTGGGTCCATGTCGGTTGTTTCGACATAATAGGGCTTCACTTCATCTGGAAGAGTCACAGACAGGGCCATGCCTTTGGGACCACAGTAGATGTATGGGTATGTTACATGGAATGTTTGCCCTTGCACATTGTCCCACAATTCTTCATAACTCTCATCTTCTTGAGTGGTACAGTACAGCGTGGCATGCAGTGGGTCAAACGGTTCTCTCAAGGGGAAATTGGATTTTGCCCATAGCTTGTATCGTTGCCAGAGTGTTGAGGCTGTATTACCATGCTCTGGATCCGTCAGTACTTGAAGCCAGTAGATATCGATAGGTGTCTTCAGATCTTCTGCGACATCTGGTGAGAGATACAATATCTGTGCATGCTTGTTTTTCTCCCAAGACCGTATTAGTTGCAATGTTTCAGGCTTGTTCATGAGTTTGTATCCTTCAGGGCAGAAGAATAGGGAGAAGGACAACTTGCACATCAGTTCACGGCCACACAGAGAGATGCCACAGTTTGGTAGATACAAAAAAGAGTGATGAACAGTTTCATGGTGTGATTTTACTTCCAATGGAACAGTAAATGGTTTGCTTTCAGGTTTCCCCACACAGCCAGAGATGGACATTGATTCAGAGGACAGTGGAAACTTGTGTGTGATGCATGACACAGTTGCACCAGAGTCGACCATGAACTTGATCTCTCGTCCATTCACCTCGAGGACCACCATTGGCTCACTCCGCCAGTTGCGGAGTGAGTGGCTCTCTTGCTGTTGGCCCCGTCAATAAGAGCCTCCAGGCCCATCCTGGTACTGTGTGTACGAGTTTCCACGCATACTCATGTTTTGTTCAGGCGGGGGTGGGGGCTGTGGCATGTCATTGGGCGTCCACATCTGCTGCTGTCCGTTGTAGGATCCGGAGAATTGCGGTTGGTTTCGTCCCCGGCCATTAAATTGGTTCCGGGGTGGGTTCTCGTACCACTTGTTAGGGCATGTGTTTGCCCAGTGTCCATATTGGTGGCATATCAAGCATTGATCTCCAGATATTTGACGATTGCCTCTTTGTCCTTGAAATCCTCTCCCTCTACTCCTTCCTCTGGAGTTCCCCCTGTATCCTCTCTGAGCCGGTCTCTGTGTCAAAAGGAGCTTTACAACGTCCACCATCTGTTCAGCTTGCTCTTTTCCTTTTTGATTCTGGTCATTGTCCTCAACATTGACCTGTGATCCGTCCACTCCAACTTTCATCACATTTGCGGCCTTGTTTTTACTCTTTTGTGCTTCCACCTCTTCTTTAAGTTTCTTGTTTTGTAACTTGATGTTAGACACCTCCACTTTTTGTGTTTCTTCTTTATTATTCTCTCTTTCACTTCGATAGAGGGTCACATAGTGGTTGCAGTTTTTATCAAAGTCTTCTTCGGTCAGTGTGTACAGTCCAACAACATGAGAAAGACTTTGTTGTACTGATTTTGGCATTCCTTTGACCATTGTGTTGAACAGGATGAATGTACTTGTTGTTCCTGGTTGCACTGCTTCCTCAGTTGCATCATAGAATAAGGCCTTGGCTCTGCGTTTGTACTCAAAGTACTCTTCATCTTCTTTCATCTTTAGCGAAAGTAATTCTTCTGGAACGCATGTTTGAAACATTTCTCTCAGAATTGACAGCAGCGGTCCTTTCATGGTGGTAAAGGACAGGGTATGGTTGAATGGTCCAATGCGTTTTGTTAGCTCCGCCCGTACTTTCTTGGTAGTGGCTTCATCAGTATTTCTGGTGATTATAGAAGAGACGTCTCCCCAGCACAATATTTCACCAGCTGTGTGCGTCGTCAGTGCCCTCATAAATGCAGGTGCTCCTTTTGTCAGCTTTGGCAATTTCAGCATTAGTCCTTCAATGTCTTTCAATGCAAATGGCTGATACACTTGCTGGCGACCCGCAGCCTCTCTTAGTGGAAAGAGAGAGGTTGTTGCTCTTCCCGCTTCATCTTCTTCTAGCAGTGAGTGATTTGGGTCAAAAAATGGGTTGACATGCCCACTCACGAAGGCTCCCTCATGCTGTTGGTCTTCGACCAGGCCGGTAAACTCCCCTGCAACATAGTGGTCTCTTGTCTCTGGACGGAAGGGGTTGTGGCCTGTCCTCAGTCGGTTCTCTATGCCTCTTCTTATATGCATTTCACGACTGGTTTGGGTGTGCTTTGGTTCTTTGTCCATTAAACAAATGAGTTCTTGTTTTTCTTTGTTCATGTTTTGCATTGTCTTGGTCTTTGACTTCCTCCATATTTCTTCTTCTTTTTTCCGCAGTTGAGGAATCCCCACTTCTTCATGTTCATCTTCTTCAGAGGTTTGGTTGTGAACACTTTGTGCTTGTTGACTGACCAGTGCTGTCAGTGTCTTGACTTGTTTCGCTAGTTCTTGCACATCTTCACGATCGCCTCTGGATGGAACCATAGAGAGGGTGCCACCCAACACTGTGTGTTCAACTGGTTCTGGGAAATCTTCTTGGGCTGTGGCTTTTGGGAGTTCCACTTGTGTGTATTCTGGTCTTGCAGATCTCTTGAAACGAGGGGGGGAACATGGAGTTGACGTTGAATACTGGGTACTCAAGTCCTTTAGTGACCTGCTCAGTTGCTTGTAGCTGTGCTTCTCCTTGTGATATGGCTCCGTGTCTTCAGGCTCGGAAGCCGGGTACAGAAGTTCATCATTTATCCGTGGAAGGGGCGTCTGGGTCTCCCTCATGAGCATTTTTCCTTTAATTCTTCTTCTCTGAGTAGCTTCAACATCACACTCCTCCTCCGTATCATCATGGAGGTCCTTGTACACGGTACCAGACCTGAGGCGTCCTGGGTCTGCAGAATGTGCCTCCTGAGTTTTCAGCGTCACCGACTTCTTTCTCTGCTTGTATGGTTGATCCTCTTGAGTGCCCTCCTTCAGGACAAGGATACGTGTCATTTTTTGTTCTTCACATTTTTCGGCAATCTTCTTCGCAATGTCATACAGCTCCAATGCGAAGTTCTTCAGCTCCTCATGCTTCCTGATCTTTGCTTCATCAGTCACGTAGCCTCTTCTGGTGAGTACTGGATGGGTGCGATGATGCAATACTTTGCCTTGGTGATATTGTGAAATGTTTTCCCATTGCTTTTTGGTCGGAGCCAGGGGATCTTCGCCACGAGAAATTAGTTTCTTCGCTGCATACTTTTTGAACAGCTTCTTCATCAGTAAAATCTTTCTTTGTTCTTCCTTTAATGGCTCTTCCTTGATGTGTATGTAATGCTCCGCCTCCCTCAGAAATGTGTCCATCTTCATGAAAGACATTGTTTTTTTTTTTGCAAAAATCAAAATAAAATAACGTAAAATAAAATAAAATAAAGAGTGAAAATAAAAAGGATGCCAAAATAAACTCAACACCAAGGCAAAAGGTGGAGAAAAATAAAATAAATAATAATAATAAAACAAAATAAATTAAAATAAAAAAAAATTTAAATAAAATTAAAAATCCAAAATCCAGAAAAAAAAAAAAATAAAAAAAAAAATAAAAATACAATGTAAATAAAATAAAATATGGTTTCCAAGTACACTGTTTTTGGGGACCAAAACTTAATTGAACGGGAAATGTTGACTCAAATTGTGACTGGAAAATCAAACAGACAAAAACCAAAAATGTGTATTATTTGTAAAAAGCAAAAAATGAAAAGTGATTTAAACAATTATATAAACTAAAATAAAATAGAATAGAGCCCAGCTAGACTAGATTTTGTATGGGTATGGTCAACACAAAACGCAAACAAACTGACCGACGCGCAAGACTGACACTGATATTATTCGCTTTTAAAACAAAACAAAACCATTATTCCCGTTATTTGATAAACCAAATGCTAATAAATGCTCCTTGTATTTGCATTTATTTATTTGAATGTAACAGTATTGAAACTGGAATTTATGCAAAATAAAGGTTATTAAGTGTCAAAGTAGAAAATACACTTCTTTTTATTCAATTATTATTTTTTTTCTACACTGATCTTTGAAAATGTGGAAAATACAAATGTGCTTTGTGTAGAAAATGCACCCGCGGAAAAGAGCTGTTTTATTATGGAAGCCAAAACAAAACAAAATGACTAAAGATTCAACAGTTTTGGGGATTTAAGTCAAAGAGCAATTTAAGTTCTATATTCTACCCACTTCAACATTTAGATTAGCAATTATTGTTCAACTGTGTTTAAACATAAAATGAAAACAAATCAAAAATGAAAGAATAAAAATAAAACTCTGATGCCGTACGGCAATGCAATTTTGGCCTGGACCGTACTTTCTCAAAACAAACCTAACCAGAAGATGCCAGAGTACTTTGAAATAAACTGTAGCGTTTACTTTTCTAACTCAATGCTTTGAATTCTAAAAACCATAAATGAATGCAGAAAAATAATTTGTAAAGCCTTGTATCTACATATAATAAAAATAGCTGAAGTGCAGAAAGAGAAACAGCCGACAGAGAAATACCAACAGTTCGGGCACAGAATAATAGCAGAAATAACTTGATATTCTTTTTTTTTTTTTTTAAACAGTTCGAATTATCGCTCACAAAAATATATTTTTGATACAGTGAGCCAAAAATGTAGCCAAATGCAAAGTGTATATTTCAAGAATTGCCAGATTACAAAAAATAAATTCTAAAATTTTGAGTTAAAAACAAGAAAAATAAAATTAATAATAAAAATAAAATGGAATATGTAAGTGAACACGTTTTTTTAGATGCACACAAACGAATAGAAACAGATTATTGTATTTTGAGAAGCGGCAGGTGTTTTGGAGCCGTGCCCGCACTCCCACGCGCTCACGGCTGGACTTTGATAAAACGCATGCAAGAATTCCCACAACCAAGCGAAAAAGGGGAAAAATTTAAAGATTTAATGCATTGCTGTTATTTACCAATATTCTTTCAGACTAAAAAGTCAATATTCATGCACTTTTAACAAGGATGCTTTAATTACTTCAACTATGTTTTTTTGTAATGGGAGGACATAGGAATCACACAAACTCTTACAACCAATTTAAACGATATAACAGCAATGCAAAAGTAAAAGCAAGATCAGAGCGAGAAATTCGAAGAATATGGTGAAGCGTTCTTAGTTCTACAACTATGAAAAATAAACATAAGATAAACATAAAAATGAACAAGCCAAATCTGTTGAGTACTTGCGTTTAAAACTTTCTAAAACCCAAAATTTAAACTCTAATTTACACAAATTTAACGGGAGTAGATGAGAGAGAAGACAAACTACACATCCGCATGCAGTGTCTATTTTTAGACCCGAAACAGGTTGCCGTGTGGGAGCAAGAAAGCCGTCGGCAGGGCGGCACGCAGTCACACACACTCCCAGAGGGCAATGAAAAATACGTAACAGCAAGATTTGAAAACTTGTTTAGCTTCAAAGGGCTTTTCTTAAAAATGTTGAATACTATCTGAACCGAAACCAAAATGCATATACAAAAGTTTAGCTGGAAATAAAACTCTGCATCTTCTGGTGAGCTCTGTCCAGGGACAAAATCTAAAAACTCCCTTTTTCTATATGTAATTTAAACCGTGATCACTGAAATATTGTTGCTTCTTTGCTTTTGTCATTTATCAAGTCTGGAATTGGTTAATTACAAAACTTTTTGTGACAAAAGGCCTCCTTAACACGTTTCCCTTTTTATTGCTTTTTAATTTTTATACCATGGTTTCACTTATGGATCCTCACTTATGGCCAACACTTTATGGATCCTACACTTTTATGGCCAACACTTTATGGATCCTACACTTTTATGGCCAACACTTTATGGATCCTACACTTTTATGGCCAACACTTTATGGATCCTCACTTATGGCCAACACTTTATGGATCCTCACTTATGGCCAACACTTTATGGATCCTCACTTATGGC